TACCCATAAAATACACATATCAAAGTATGTACACTGCTATAAGACTTATACTAACCAGACTGCTTACAAAAGGAAAATCCAAGACCGCTTCAAAACAGATCCACAGACGAAACCGTGATCTAACAGACCACCAGGACCCTCCATGCGGCTGCCCAAACCTCATTTTTAAGCCCCAACTAAAAGAGGTTCCCTGGCTTTGAAGAACCAGCCTTCCAGCCTTATACAGGGCAGTAAAAATGTTTCCACAGTTGCGACGTTAGCCAGAAAATTAGATGGGAGTGTAGTAAGGGGTCTCTCTACTATCGCCTCCAGCTATTGTCCTAAAGAGCAATATTTGGAGACTGGACACTGTAAAATGAATAAACTTTGGGTATTGATGCTTGATTTTCGGCTATATCTTCCCTCACTGAATACATTTCTTTACACTAATCACAAATCACAACTTTCACAGAAGCAATTACAGAATTTACTCACATGATTAGCCTTAGAAATCAATGCTTATTTTATGTTTCCATTAACCAAAAAATAGATTTGTGCACACCCTACTTTCCATATCTTATCTTTACTTGTTTATATTTTTTACACCTCCTTATATTTGATTTGTTAAAAATTAAAGGCACACTATTTTGGTGAAGGGTCTGCCACTTGATTGTCTCCAGACTGTTACTGAGATGTTATTGTTAAATTTAATGCCATTCTTTGAAACATTAGCGATATCATTTCCATGGATACAAGCACTTCCTGTAGCTATTGTCCCAAAGAGTAAGACTGAAGTTGACATTTAGCAGTTTGCACACAATATTTCAGTCCATGCTTGTTTAGGCCCTATCTGGATCTCAGGCATGACTTCCTGCTCTCCAACGTTTCCCCATGTTGTGTCTGTGGTCTATTTTAGTCCCCCATCAGTCATGCAACTTCATTACCAAGTGGCTGTATTGTTTGTCAAATCCTGTCGTGAACAAGAGATATTCAGTTGTAAATATAGAACAATATCTAAATACAAACGATTCTGTTTTATCATTTTGTTTAGGGCAGAAGATCAAACAGGAAGTGGCTTATCTTTTCATGCAACATTTAGGTCACTATGGCATAAATAAAAACTGTGCTGTTATAGTGACGTAGAGATACTCTTTGTGTTTTCTTTCACCGTGATGTTCAAATTTAAATTGTGTTTATCATTTGAGAGAAGTAGGTAAATGACAGTTTCCTTATTATATTTCTGAAAGTCCAATGCGTTTAAAAAGACATGTCAAAAAGTTAGATATAGTTAGATACACAGATGAGCATTTATTGATTTTCATACTTTTTCCCTTTTATGCAGCCACACTAACTTGACAGGACTGCATTGCGTAAAGAGCCTTGCCCAAGGACAGTTTCCATTTGAACTGATGAAGCCTTTGGTTGGTGGGCCCTTATTCTACAATGCCACCGTTGCATCAGAAAAAACAAACAAACAAACAAAACAAAAAAACACTATAAATGAATTCATATTTCTCATTTCATGGTCATTTTTTGTTGGTAAGACACATCACAGACTGGAGTAGAGGGGATTGGCTTGGCTCCTTTTCCCTCCAACATCAGAGGGAGGCCCCAGACCCAGAGATGTGGTTGTGGTTAACCAAAACCAGTGATGCTGTCGCATAGTAAAGGTTTGGAGGCAGAAACTTGGAATATAAGAAAAAAAGTCAGACTGGTATTCAACTACTACAGTTATAACTACAGTGTGATGGCTTGTTTCCACATTTTATTTCATTTTTTCCCCCCTTTACTTTATTTTACAAAGTTTACACAGTGCCCTTTGCCAATATTTTGTCCATTTTTGTCCATTGCTTGAATGTGTTTATTTTCTTATAGTCAGCGTTAGCAACTCTGAAATAGTGCTGTCACAAATACTAATGTATTAGTATTTGTATGTATGTTATGATACCATAATAATGATTGATAAAAGCAATTCTTTTTATATAATATAACTGAATTTTCTTTAATAATATTATGGTCTTAAAGTAAATCTAATGCACATCTAAAACCAAGCAGGAAAGGTCAAAATATTTTCAGTACCAATAATTGTTCAAATGGGTATCTGGTACTTTCTATACTTAGACTTATACTTAGACTCTTAAATAAACACTTTCTTTGTATTACCCAGTATATCAGTTATGTGGGAGTCTTCCTTAAGCATTTAAAGCAAAGTAAGATTATTCTAGTCCTATCACATCTTTTTTTCCTCAGACCATGCTGTAATACTACAGCATATTAGGTGACCCCCCCTCTAATGCAAGAACAACTTCATTAATCATACTCCACATTCTGTTTAGTCCCATGGCTAATACTGTAATAATTATTTCCATCGGGCAGTTTATTATTTTCCAATCTCCCCCCTTGTTTTCAGTATCTGACGTCACCATACAATTTACACACACACACACAATCTGGGACAGTCAGTTAAATTCAGACACCAACACAGTAACAGTACAAGCCTACACAGTGCATTGTATGAAAAGAGCATCTGTACACAATAGAGGCCTGGCATGGGACCACTAAAGCTGTCCTACAATGACTCTGCAGGAACACATTGTGCTCCACTTTTGTATGGGACTGGCTAAGTGTAAATGTGTAGTCAATTTGTCTTCTTAAATTCATCTATCAAAATTATAGGTAAAGTCTACTACAGAACTACAGTTCACAGTTTTTAGATTAACCTGAAATATATGAACTGCTTAACAATTACAGAATCCCATATATTTCAAATGAAGGGATGAGAGGTTTTATATGTATACTGATTTTGTTGATAGCAGCTTTTACTATCTACCGTTAATCATCTACTTGTGGGGTAAATGCTTGTTCCTCTTACCACATAACCCTTACATTTCCAATAATGGCAAACACTGTTTAATTTGGTATTGCCTTAAACATTGCATAACCAACATAATAATAGTTCATTTTTTTTCTGTATTCTCTTGCACCTCACTATCCCTTGCTCAGAGCTGAATTTCCAGAACTATGTCACACATTTGCAGTTTGTGTACTCAGGGCCGTCCGGGCAGGAAAAGTCTGTGAGGATCAGATCTTGGCTCGAGATGTGAATACCGAAAGCTTTGACTAAACCTGGCTCCAATTATCTGTGCTCCAGCAGCCAAGGGGAACTTCTGACTATCCCTCACTCTCCAGACCATGCAGAGCTTACAACCGTGGGGCTCAAGTCTGACATGCAGTCTGTTTACTGCCTATGGTTTCAGACAAGCAGTGTACTTTTAATGATATTTGAAATAGGACTGCACGATTTTGGGGAAAGAACTCGAATAGCGATTTTTCTGACAATTATTGTGATTCAATTTGTAGTTTATGTTCAAAAAGTATAGTTATTATGAGTAGCTGGCTGTTAAACTCAGCTAATAGGGATGCTAATAATGAACTAAACAACTCCAGGAGCATCCTTGCGATTTGATATTTCCAACAATTCAAATTCTGATTTCAATTTTATTTTGATATCTTGCACAAACTTAATGTGAAATGTGATTTTGACAAAAAGTGCTTTACAAATAGAGAATAGTATGTCATTTGTTAAATACAGAAAAAATATGTATTTGTAGACTGAACTGTCGACATTTGTCTTTGTGTCCTGTAAATTTTTTGTTAATTTTTAAGTCCAAGTTAAGTTTAAGATAAGTTAACATTGTGAGATAATATAGTGTTCAATTTGAATATTGCTCTGAAACCTTTTTTAAGATTTTTTCAATATACTGTTTCATGCATTTTGATGTGCACAATCTATCTAAGTATGACATAGTGCATTTGATTTGACACAATTATTGAGTGTGAATTTGACCTAATTTCTGTTGAGGTGACCTCTTCTTTCAGTCTCACACAGTGCTGATGCAAGCACGTGCGTAGCTTGTGTGACCTGTATGCTTATTACTGATGTGTTCTGAATTATAATAGATGAGGCGGGGTGTCAGCTCTCTGGGTGCTGTGTCTTTGTCTGAAGGTCAAAGGTTGATGTCATTAGAATAAGGTCACTGCAGTCTGTGGTCCCAAAGCCTGATCTTGTGAGGCATTCTGGGATATCACACAAAGGACACTGCAGCCAAGGGGCAAACCAACTAAATGTGGTTTTTTTCAGTGTAAACAACTGTGTATGTGTGTGTGTTCATTCATTCACTCAAAGAAATCTTGTTTGTAAGATTGCTCACGTTTTTGTCTGACGTCTCATTCAAACTGTTGACCTTTGAACTGAGAGAAAAACTTGACTGAACTGTTGAACTGAAATCCTCAACAGTTTACAATGTTAATGGTGTGACTGTGAGACTCCATGTGACCTACTTTTGTCCAGAATATAATCATTTGTTTTTGTTTATAAATGTATTTAATGTTTCCCATCAGCTCTTATGAAGTATGTGTTTGAAAATTATGTACTTTTGTTTGTTTTTTTGTTGTTGTTTTTTTGGTTGTTTTTTTTGTTGTTGTTTTTTGCAGTTGTATAAATGTATAAATGTTCAAGTTTAAGGTCAGAAGGGTTTAGCTACACTTTTAAAATTTGTTTGTTTGTAAAGATTATTTATGTTTTTATTGACATATTTGCTCACATGTGCTGTAAAGCATTTTGAATTACCTTGTGTATAAATTGTGTTGTACAAACTGACCTTGCCGACTAATCAATTCATACCATTATTATAATAATCTCCAATATACGGACCACTATAGTGTTTTTAAAATGCCCATTGCATCTTAGCATCAAAAACGTGGCAGTTTATTTTTGGTTTGGCAAAAACTAAAGTTGAGGATGTCCCTATCTAATCCTTTTGTATTTTGTTGTGTTGTATTTTTGTTTGTTTGGACATCCACTTCTACCTTTAACAGAGTGTTGAAACATATATGCGGCCTCTCTGTCTTTATGTAGCCACCAGACCTCCTCCAGCTTGCTCACATCCTTCACAGTGAGCAGTACTGCATCTGTCAGCGATGTTAAACTATACTTCCATGTGCCCTGTGTCTATCTCCAGGTCGCAGGAAAAAGCTTCACTCTGTGGGACGACTTCCTGCTTAAAGGCCGGTGTAGCCATGAAAAGGAAAAGACCTTGGAACAGCTCATCCAGTTTGTCAAGGTATTTCTTTCTCTCAGGACGGAAACTTAAAGTAGAGTTAGTGTTAGCGAGTGCAAGTTTTATGTGTTTTCTAATATAATGCTCCCCATCCAACAGAGCAACACAATAGCCATTGTTTTAAAATGGACACCTTCTAGTCATACAGTGCAGTGGTTGAGAGTGCCAGCCAGCCATGAAAACAATTATCCTTATCTACACCATGTTAATTATAGGGTAAATAAAATAGCTATTTATACTAATGCAAAGATAAATTATCAAAAGAAAAATGTATTCTGTCTGTAATCATGCCATTCAAACCATGGCTTCTACCATTGCCATAGCCTTACTAAATACATTATCAGTGGAATAAGTGTCCTCTGTCAGCTTGGTGTGAAGAGTGTGCCTGTGAACCCCATTATGTGGATTAGCATGGTCATGTTGAATTTGTTTAGCTGTTTGCCCTTACAAACTCAATACAGTGCCTACAGTGTCATTCATTGTAATGCAGATTCAGAGATTTTACATCTGAAACATTTTATTGTACCAATATATAGGAATTTGTGGAGACTGGGGGAATACACATAAGATCACCATATTTGCTCCAGGTTTTGTTGAACCTGTCAGAGAGCCTGTGTTCCTGTGTTTGTTTATGGACACACTGTGGCACTTCCTGAACTGCCCAAATTGAGGTTGTAGGTCATTAATAGTGTCAGTCGATATATCTATATAATGATTTCTTCTATATGGCTGAAAAGAATTATGATTATGGTTATGATTTGTGTTTGTTTTCAGGAAAAGTGTGGTCTGGAGGTGTGCAGTCTCTTCTATGGGAGCTCTATCATTTACAATGGCCAGAAGGACAGACTCAAGCAAAGGTAATTATACCATTTGATTGTTCACATGTCAAATGAATTAAACTTCAAAATAAAAAAGCACACTCAGATGGTTGATGTCCATGAATTAAACTTAGCACTAGATTATAGTTACACTGCAAAAATCAACTGATCATGACAATTGTGGTATAGAAGGGGTCAGATATAAAACCAAAAACTAAATACTCTTTGCAGTAATTAACTTTTTCTTAACTTTTTTGTAGTGCATTAACATCTGTGTTGCAGAGGCTTGTATCATTCTATAGTATAGAGCCCGATCGTTATGGATTTTGTTGTGGCCGATATGATACTGATATAATGGGAGTTGGAGCTGCTGATAGCCGATATAATCACTGATATATTTAGTGATGTAAAAATTCACTGTAAATCTTGAATTATTTTTTAAAAAAAAACTTAGGTTTGGCTCTGGTGGTTTTTAAACTGGGTTTATTTAGGCAACATTTATTGTTATTCTGCCTCTTTACATGATATGTCATAGGACTAAAGCAAGTCTAAAGCAGGACTAAACCAGAACTGAACCAGGACTGAAAAAGGACTAAACCAGGACTAAAACAGATCTAAACCATGTGTAAAACAGGACTAAACCAGAACTTAATCATACTCGGTCTCTATCTCTCTCCCTCTTTCGACCCCAAGATTAGTCCTGGTTTATTTATTTTATGCTGAATATATATATATATATATATATATATATATGCACGGTTTTTTTTTTACCCTATGCACACGCATATTTTTGAAAGTTTCGTTTTTAGCCGCTGCCGCTGTCAAACTACCACGAGTCTGCACGCGGCATGAAGAGAAACAAAGTGAGAGAAAGAGAAAACACGGCTCCCAATCCCAATAAGGATCAGGCTCCCGTCGTTCGCTTCAAAGAGCCGACTCTAAGAGCCGCTTCGTTCACGACCGACCCATAACTACAAGCTAGTAAACTATCACTATTAGCCTTTAGCTGTAAATGCTGCGCGCCGCGGTAATTAATTATATGCACAAATTTAATCATTCACACATCTATTCACAGCTCATTTACATAGCAATGCTGGTCCAGTAACAAATATATGACCAATATAGTCACTTTACAATAGGCCAATAGAAAACAGCCTGTTTATGTGCGGGAGCTACAGCAGCTAATCGCTAGCCTATCAGAAAGAACCAAAACTAGCTTCAAAGTCGACATATTTCCAACACTCACCGCTCACACAGGCTCCTCCTCACATCACAAGTCTGCACTAATAAATGTCCTTTTAATCCAGACTCAAACCGATTGTCCGTAAAAAGAATATAATCTCAGTGTTGCGCACATGGATCTATGTCTGCAGGTGTAAACAAACGCACGTGACTCTGGGGGTGTGTTCAGGGACAGTACTGATACACACACTAACAAATAACTCCGCAGATAAAAACTGATGCAGAGCCATATATTTGGACATTTATCTGTCTGTAAATTGGATTAAATGAACATAATGTAGAGAGTCTAAGCTTTATAACGAGGTATAACATGCCCACGTGAAATATTGGTTCCTATCAGCAAGCATATTTCCAGGTGCTCATATCGACCGATAATATCTGCCAACCAATATATCGGTCGGGCTGTACTATAGTATTATAGTATATATAAAAATAAAAAGGTTGAGAAATGGAATTAATAGAAGTAGTTTCAATGCTATGTCTCTTTATAATGTATTATTGTGGCAGGGATAGGCCTTTAGAGATGTTATTTTTTTGCCTGGAATGTTCCACTGTGTGGCTTTTAAGTTATCTCTATAAATGCAAACTGGTGAGCCTCCAAGTCAAGCTACAGGTCAGATCTGGAGGAGATGACACCACTTACTGTAAAAATTTGTGTTTTCCAAGCTATTTCTAATAGTAGTACACTTGTAATCAAGTAAATGAAAGATTATAACATTACATTCAAACACAACAGCTTGAGATCAACAACATGATCTAATCTTAAACTTTTGATCCAGTTCCAAAGCAGTGATTCACAGTTCTGAGCCTTCAAATTACAAAGATGCTTTATGTATTAGTTGACATCTAGTTGACCGCATGTGACATCTTTAGCTGCACACTCACACTGAGCAGCATCCCTTTGTTTGTTGTGGAGGTTAATGGCAGGATGAGGCGTTTCCTTTGTTGACACGCTCACACCATGCATCACTACACCCCGACGACTGAGGCTCACTACTACTCAGGTTTCTATGTTTGTTGAGAAGCTAAAGAGTTAAAGTACTGTTTAAGTTGTTTTCCCTCCAAATGTGTAGGCAGGGGCAGGGGTGATGCTGTTTGGACTTGCAGCACATTAAACACCACATATCTGATGCCATAGGGTAAATGAAATCTTTGCACTAGTTAAAGCAGTGAGTCAGACCCAGATATGAAGCCTGCAGCGTCTCTTTTCTTCCAGTAAAGATGGAAGACGACAGTAAATCTGAGTTTTATAGCTCATAATTTAGAGAGATGGTTAAATGTTTCTGTATTAGTCATTTAACTTTGAATTGTACAGTATAATGTTTGACAGAAGGCTGGATAAAACTTTGATTATAGCAGTAGCTTTTTTCTAATAAGAGGTTAAATAAGAACTTAATTTACTTTTGATAGCCATTTAATTAGAGTTCAAACAGGAGTTATCTTGGCAGCAACAAAGGCCAAGTAAGCCACACAGTTTTAAAATGTATATGTTCAACCTCCTTAATTTGAGATCATTTAGATCAGTTTTTCCCAAACTTTTTTTTTATGGGGACCCATATTTTAAAAGTCACAAACCTTCGCAACCCAAGTCAATAGACATTCGTAAATCACAAAATAAAGGTGGATTTGACCATTATTGAACATTATATTTTATTGTTGACTGAGTGATCATGTCTCTCGATCACAAAAAATTTGTATTACTCCAGTATTAAACATTGAAAAACAGAAATTGAAGCAGCAATAAAAGGATCCATAAGTCACCTATTTGGGCATTAAATGTACCCCATTTCTTTTTCTTTTCAATGTTCAGTTGAACCAGCCATATTGAAACAAAATAGTCAATAAAATAATTACAAAAAAGATTAGAAATCATACAAAACACATCTTGACATTTCAACATATGTCAGAACTGTATATTGCAGATCTACATGCCGATCGTGACAAGGCGACCCCAAAAAAATCTCTTTTGACCCACCTCAGGGTCGCAACCCAGTCTTTGGGAAACAGTGATTTAGATAATATTTTATAGGTTATAGGTTATAGGTCTATTACAGAACATGCTAGATGTGATTAGTTCTTCTAGGGGAATCCTCAAATGTTCCACAGTATGGCTTCAAACTGATCTATATCCATGGAAACAAGCACCAGGGTAAGTTACAGTTCAGATCGCTGGAGAGGCAAACTTGCTCATGGTAACAATGCATGTTTTTGAAGGTATAAAAACATATAGAATTTAAAAAAATGCAAGATGGACATGTTTAATGCCATAATGTGAAACATTCTAGGCAAAGCATTGACATCTCCATGGAGACAAGCAGTGGCAAACCCCTCACCAGAAAAGTTTTACTGTGCACTTTTTAATTTAATTCTGCACTTTAGAAACTTGAAACTTCCAGTAGATTCCTCATCATGATCTTAATCAGTGTTCTGATTATACAGGATTTGGATTATAAATTGGCATAATAATAACACAATATAAGTATCTTTGCTACATTATATCTGTGTGTGTGTTTTATGTGGTTTGATAACATATGCCATATGTTTTTTGTCCCTATCCATGTCCCTCTCATGTGGTACTTGTGATTATCCAACTGCACAGGAAGCCACTACTGGTGGGCATTTGTCATTTAGGAGCAGCTGTCTACATGCCCCCACTTTCCCCCCTCTCTTCCCCTCTCTCCCCCTGTTTTTCACCTCTCTCTCCCCCTGTGGCTTCTGCTCCGGTCCCTAGAGAGAGAGGAGCAGTGCGCGGATATCATAGTAAAAACAAAAGAGTGTACATCTGTAGCCTCTCTGGGGATAGTTCAACCTGCACAGGAAGTCACTGTCAGACAAAAACTAACAATAAGAATATCATGCTGTGCCTAGTGTGAGTAACCAACTGGTCATTTGTGGATCTGTGAATGAACAAACAAGATTATGCACTATATACAAATGTTTTAGTTTTTATTTTGTTTTGTTTTTTTTGTAAGATTTGTAGGACAACTTATTAATCAATCAGCCATTTGTCAAATCTTGTGGTATGATATTATCAGATATGTTAATCTCCTGGTACCATATTTTATGCAATATTGTGGGTTGACCAACAGTCAACCCACAACAGTAACAGAAGAAAATGTCCTTTAACTCAAACAAAATCATGCTGAAAATGTCCCTATGCCTTTATCCCAAGTAGTGTTGTCATGATACTACAATATGAAATTCAAAAGAATAGAAACAATTAACTGACTTTAATACCCAAATGATTTTTTAGTCATTTTTTATTCAAAATAATAGTATTTGTTCATTGTTAAGACAAAAAGGTCCAAAATGATCCAGTTTATGTTATTATTTTCAGGATTGATTCTTACTCAGTGCATATCTACTTTCGATACTAGTTTTAGTATCTGATTTTTTTATACTTCTGATAACCTCAATCCTGCATATCATAAATATACTGAGTCATATATTTTGTGTCTTCTTCCCAGTGTGTCTGAGCTGATAAAGATGGTGACCAAAGCAGAGATCCCTCCTCATAAGAAGATGCTGGAGCTGTTCCCGTCTTTCACTGAGGATGAAGACTGTGAGGTAGTGCCCCGTATCCAGTACCTGCTGCTGTGAAGGAGACATGTATAGGGAGACAAATATACAAAAATTAAGAAGCATGAAGCACGCCATTTTAGATAATGCACTGCGTTTCTTACTGCCAATGCTATGTTTACATGGAACTGCACCTTCCATATTTTAATCTCCTGTACTTCTTAACATTTTATGTAATGTTTTAACAATCATGTGAACTTCTTGTTTGAAACTGTTAAAATGCTATGCTTAATGCCATATCAAGTACTGTGAAAGTTAGAGAGATTTTAAATTAATTTTCAATCATGTATGTGCTCAATAGCCAATGAAACACAGGTCTACAAGTTTATGAATATGGCTATCACTATTTTAAAACTGACAATCACAATAATATCTTAACTGACTTAACTGATCTATTACAAATATATAATAGTATTATATAAATATAATAGTATTTTGTGTGATTTGTCTGGAATTGCATACCATATCTTAAAGTTTTTTAATCTACACAGAAATCTGCATTTTAATAATAGAATAGATATATAGATTTAGATGGAGAAAGAGAGGGCAGTGATTTTTTTTACATTGGTTCTTGCTATAGCTGTCTGAACACAGCTGTTTGAACTTAATCCTTGTTCACAAATGCAGCCCCTCCCTTCATATAAATATAGAGATAGAAATATCAACAGTACTTTCACCTGTTTGTGCATAGCTTCACTGCTTATGCTGCCAATACTAACTGCCTTCCACTCCAGTTGTTGCACTTGACACTTGCACTGGACAATTATGTGTGCTATTTGGAGCTGCCATTGTTTTAGATGTACAAATGTGTGTGATTGAAAGGTGTGGTTGTAACATGCATAAAAGTCTGTGTCTGTTCTATTATAAATGAGAAATAAATTATGTCTGCATTGTTGTTTTGTGTATTTCAAAGTTCCCTTTTGCATCATTGCCGCTTTCAGATGACTTTTCCAATAACGATCTCTAATTTATGCATAAAGAGGGGAGTGAAAATGTGACCTAGGGGTATATGAAGGGTAAATGAGACCAGTTAATATTATGTCTATTAGCCACATACTCGAGGCAATCTCACATTTTATAACCAACATTTGTCATAGCACCTTGTCTTCATTTTTGGCAGACACAATAAACAACAGATTTACGATAGCAATTTGAGGTACATTAGCTTGGCTGCTCCCCATGTACATTATCACACTATTAGCCCCTTAGGAACATACGTATATTAATCTCAGTGGTTAAGTCATAAGCAAAGCCTATGTAAAGTTTATATGAATTAGAATATTAAAAATGGTTTTCCCCAATTTTAAAATCTGGTAAATATTTTAACTGATATTTAAAACAAAAGAAAACCAGGCAAAGAATGAATGTACATAAATAAAGCTTTATTATTTGAAAATAGAATAGGCAGTTGTGAAATATGCAACATTTTCTTCATTCTTCAAATATATCCAATAATATCGTTACATATGATTGGTTGGCGGCTGCCTGTCTTCATTAGTGCAGTGAACTTGTGGAAGTCTGAGTCTGTTTCGTGTAATCCTGTGTGCGACTGGTGAAAGAAAGGTTTAAGTCCCTGTAGTCCCACTGGGCAGGACAGCCTTTTGGATGCTTCAGTTTGCCTGGCATTTACACAGTCCGCTGGTCTGCTCCTCATCTCTACACCTTTCGAGATCACATTCAATCTTTTACGCATGTTCACGATGATGTCCTTAGCCAGTCGCCTTCCTGAATTTGGCTTGTGTTCAGCTGGTTCTGGACTCTCTGGAAGATCCAACCAGTTTTTCACCAAATCTGCAAAACTATTGTCCCCAAGAACTAAAGGTTGTCTATTTCGGCTGCGACTCAACAATGAAGTGGTCCAGTCCTCTGGGTTTCCAGACTCAAAAGAAGTCCACTTTTCCAAACAAGCATCTGACGTAGATTTAGGACGGATTCTCCCATTTGTAGACACACGATTTGTTCTAAGACACGCAGAAGAGGAAACACGAACATTCCTGGTTCTCCTCAGCACAACTCCTTCATCGTGCCATGAATCCTCCGAAAACCCAGAGTCAAAATCCACACTTTTTTCGCTACCTGGAGACCCTTGTTGCCATCTTTCATTCTCCTGCTCATCTTCTTCCTCAAGTGGACTGGCCAGACAGCAAGCAGAGTCATAGGTACCAGATTCACTAGTCTCAGAAACCCGAAGTCTTGTGGATTGGTTTTGTTGTTTACAAAATCTCGTCACAGCAAAAGATCTGCCACATGGTTCACTCAGTGGCCTGGGACGATTCAGCTGTTTGCGGTCGTGTAGGGACTTCTTCATGTACTGCATCTGGTCCCGCAGGCAGTCCGGTGATTCGCCTAAACACAGCTGAAAAGAAAAAAGACAAGTTAGTCAAATCATTTAGACATCACCATTTATAGGACATACTAAACATACTTTGAATATTTTATACATACATTGAAGAGCAAGTGAAAAGTAGTAGCAGTAATAGCAGTTTTTAAGTAGCGTCTGTCCTAGTAGTAGACAGGCAGGCAAGATTAATTGCCCATACCAGTAAGTGAAAAGTAGTAGTAACAATAGTCTTACTAATAGTAAGTAGTCTATTGTGGCAGTAGCTGTGGCTTTTACAGTAATGGGCATGGTAGTATTAGTATTTTATTAAGGAAAAAGCTTATAAAAACAAGCTGTGGTTCACTCCTTTAGTCTTTCTAACACTCATCATGCCTCGGCCTGTTTGACAGTGGCTGGAGCTGGAGTATCCAGAAGTAGGCCAAGATTTTTAAAAGATTAGATCATCACTTCCATGGTATTTTACAAATACCCCTACTATAAAGGAGAGGGGTATTACCTGCAGTGTGCACTGTAGGACCAGTCTACAAAGCACTTTGAAAATGTAATACTCAACCTAAAATGTTTATTGAAGCACAAACATTACATACCTATAGCTAAGTTTAACACGTGAATTCAAAAAGTTGAGTAAAATCGACTCTTAAGATAATATATACATTTCATAATTATTTTACAGTATAAGGCTAGGGCAGGACTAAAATGGGGAACTCCAGTTTAGACAAAGCAGCAGAGTGAGTCTGACTATTAGGAGTGGAGCGCATATCCTCTGTGAACCCCACTGACCCACAGGATGTTGCTGCTCTGAATTATAAAAACGGAAATGACTGCAGCGCGTTGGAATTGAAATGTTGGACTTCTAATAGCAATTCTCTCTTTTTTCTACAATTCAAATCGTTTTTTGCAACCCTATGCACCTATCACGTTACAAAAGCCCGTGCTGTGGTGGTAAGGGTCTCTCCACGTTGCTGATGTTATCACAGCTGCAGGCGCAAAACCATTTGGGGTTTGAAAAGGACTTATCTGCCTAAAAGACGCGTACACAGCGGGACACTGCAGTCCGTCTGTGTACCATTTGAAATAACATGTTTCTACTTGACTGCCTCCACACACAGCACGTGAGTAGCATACCAAACTGCAAGCATTTGGCAAGCCAAAATATGTGGCTATAAGCTATATTTTACCACGACAATAAGTTAAGCCATAAATTGCCAGGAAGAACTTACCATATTGTCCTACGATAATGTCCAAAGCAGTAGACTTGTGGAGGAGATTCACTTTCGGCTCTGCAAGGGAAGAAAATATATAAAAAATATGGTTGACAACAGAAACAAAATCATTCAATAAAGCAGCATGGATCAAGCAAAAATACTCACCACTGCATTTCAATGTAAACTATAAACTTGAACGACTATGAACTTCTAAAATCCAAAATTAAGTCGCGCACAGTAAGTTTCTTGCTGTGGTCTTTAGTCTGACTCACCAGGGTCCTGTCACTGGACTTTAACGATGCTGAGCTCCAAGCCTCAGCCAATCAGCGTCATGCGCAAAAACATCCAGCCAATGGGAGTGCGCGTGAAATGAGAGCCGTCCTCGTGCGCGTCCAGCGGTTCCTCCTGGAGCCAAACATCTGTCGCCTGTTAATTAAACCCTTATTTAATTTACATATATTTAATTTGTAGAAATGTATCTAATCCATTAAAAAGCGATAAAAGACTAAAATCAGCCACAGCTTTGTAATAAAAAAGTTTATGTATCCAAGGCTTCAAGTTGGAGTTTGGTTACCTATATATTATTATCATCAGAATTATATTAGAATTCTAATTATTATATATGTATTTCAATCGGCAATTCTGTTTGACCAACGCAGGAAAACAAAACAAAACAAAATTTGCCTAGTAAAAAATCATAACCCAAGTTCAGACAGACAAACCCAAAGTGACATATCACCAAAATAACTGCATCAAGACCACATTATATGGGCCAAATTAAATAAATGTTTTGACTAAAAGAGAAAAAATATATAGTTCAAATCAAGTTGAAAGCAAGCTATAAAATAAAAACTTACCAAACATCTTTCTAGAAATGTTGGTCTGGTTGACAGTGTCCTTGGGGCGCCTACCTGACGCCACCTGGTGGAGCGCGGCGGTCCTGTCCTGAGAGCCTGTTAGCGCCTCCTCACGGCCTCATGAAAGTCAATGGAGCCGCAGAGACCGAGCAGTCCGCTTCTGTTCTGTCCCTAATGCACTTTTGCATAAAAACAAAAGGCCCGCGCTGCATTTGACGGCTCTGTTCCATTTGCATTTCTAACCTCTTTAGATGTTGATCACTCTGTTCTGTAATTCAAACAAGGCAACTCAAGAAAAACATTTAGACCATTAGAATTAAATGGGTTAACTTGCTAATCTAACGATGTCTAAACATGTCATGAGTTTGAACCTACATGCTAAAGGACAATAAGCTCACCATGTATCTTTTCTGGTGGAAAGTACACGTTTGCTCATCTCCATGGAGACTGGCATGCCTGACATGTTGCACAATGTAGCATTAAAGTGATCCATCTCTCATTTACAACTATTTTATTACAGATATTACAAAAACTAGAACATGATGCAATCCTACTGACAGTGCCATCGCCGGTCCACAGATCTGACCTGTAACTTTTTCTAAGTGTTTGTCTCCATGGAGATACAGATCTGTCATACTGTGGAACATTAAAGATTGTCTAAACAGCAATGTTGTGGAGACAAGCATGGGGCAACCCTCCACCAGAATATTACACGTGCAAACCGACTTACCTTTTTTCTTTCAAAGCGACACACAAGTACAGCACAGTATGGCCAGATAGTATTAACTACTTTGCCTACTTCACAACAAGCTTTTAATAAGGAATAAACAACATTGTTGTCAGTTTATTTATGGCTCCCCTTCAAAGTGGAAAAAAATTAAAACAAAAGTAACAGACACTACACATTATGCAATCATGTGTTTATTTACAATGAACAAAGTGAATTTCATTTCGACCACCATTGCACTATAACCATCCATTTGTTGTCACTGTGCTGCTGCTGCGGTGCTTTTCAAACTCGTGTGAATGATGTGAACCCAAGTGGAGTAGAAATAGCCCTAATTCACACTATATGAACATAGCATGTCTAAAGAACGAGTGTAAACGCAGATATCAAGGCACAAACATGTTAAAACACTGGTAAAATGAAAGAAACATACCGGATACAGAACTAAATGTTATAGACAGATCCACTTAATAAAAATCTTGCAGATATATTAAAAGTGACACATAACAAGTTTTTTTTTCTAAAGTAGGAATGTTTTTGTTCATCTTTTGTGAGAGAAGAGAGGAGTTTTATTCTGGTCTAGGGAGCTCATGCAGAACAATGCGCTATTGTACAACTCCGATTATTGGTTCAGTGTAAACATTGTACAAAAGACATTTTCATAGCGCATCCCTTTATCATTCTCCATGCTTTTTTTTCTTTTCAAACTTCGGAAAAATCGGCTCTGTGCAGTTTCAGGTAAAATGTCAACTTAAGTTATGTGATATAAAAATCTAATATCTACTCTTATTGACAAAAAAGGGAAATAAAATAAAATGTATCTTAATAAAAAACATTAAAAACAACATACAGCCTATATATTCCTCATGATTTTAAGCTTGCACCAAAGGCATTTTAATACTTTCATCTTTGATTTTGCTTTTTAAATAATAAAGTTACAGAATTTATATTGATCCAGCATTTTGGGGGGATTATCTTGACTGCCTAATGTGCCTTCAGCTAGTTGCAATACAGTAGATTTTTTTATTTTTTCCATTGAGTGCTGTCTTCAATTGGCTTTTGTCCAGTCAGAGTCCTCTTTGTGAAACCATTATTTACAGGCACTCAACATGAATGTATGGCAAAGCCCTGACCGAATATAGTTACACATCTAAACATAAAATATTAAGACAAAAGTGTGTGTGAATATTGTGAAACATGTGATGAATGGTCCCCCCTCTTGGAGTCAAGTCTGTTATGGTTTTCATTATGAAAAGCAGTAATCGTCTCATTTCTCTTGCAGTCTCTCATGCAGTCTGTGTGTGCCAGGTATTGTCCTGAGAGAGAAAAACATAAAAAAAATATAAGTACAGTGACTTGGATTATTCAAAAATACAAAGTTAATACAAAAATTAAAAGATGCACTACGTAACTTCTGTCGTGACGCTTATCTCCGTGAAAGTGATATTGCTTTGCCTGGAATGTTTTTGGTAAGGTATAAATGTACAATTTATTTGATTAGATGGGTTTTTGCCACTAAAAATGCCTAGTAAACATGCATTTGTCTCCATTAGAGAGTTTAATGCCATTCTGTGGAACATTGCAAGAAAAGCAATAACATCTGCATGGAGAAAAGTAATTTTAGAATATGTGCCGTGAAAATGTCATTTTGTGCCAACAGCCTCTGACCACCACCAATCACACTTTCACACTTATAACACCATTTACAGGCAAGCTCAGTCAAGTGTCTTGGCAGAAGATAGGAGTAAGCCTTACATGTTCAAGGATATTTACAATTTGAAAACTATATTCTGCCCAAATAGTATTTCTTTAAACATAACTAGAATAACTGATTCTGATAAGTAGAATCACTGAACATTCTAAGATACAGGTCAATAACTGAAGCATCTTTTGTAGGTGGGCCGTGCAGTACCTTTAGAAGAGGCCACAGTCTTTAAGGTTGTTCTTGATGATGACGTCGGTGACAGCGTCAAACACAAACTGCACGTTCTTGGTGTCTGTAGCGCAGGTGAAGTGAGTGTAGATCTCCTTTGTGTCCTTTTTCTTGTTCAGGTCCTCAAACTTGGTCTGGATGTAACTGGCTGCTTCGTCAAACTTGTTAGCTCCTGTTTGAATATATGAGAAAGGAAAGATATTAATTAGCCCCTCCCTGAACCGTCACCTTATCGTGGTGGAGGGGTTTGAGTGCTCGAATGATCCCGGGAGCTATGTTGTCAGGGGCTTCATGCCCCTGGTAGGGTCACCCAAGGCAAACAGGTTCTGGGGGACGGGTCAGATGAAGAGCGGTTCAGAAGCCCTATATAATGATGTACACTCAGAGGCCAGCGACGTCGCCTGGATCGGAGTTACCGGGGCCCCACCCTGGGGCCGGGCCTGGGGTGGGTGCTCGCTAGCGAGCGCCTGATGGCCGGGCCTTCCCCCACGGGGCCCGGCTGGGCTCAGCCCGAAGGAGCGACATGGGGCCATCCTCACGTGGGCCCACCACTCGCGGGAGGATCCATATGGGGCCGGTGCAGAGAGATCTGGGCAGCAGTGGACAGTGGGGACCTCGCTGACCGGATCTCCGGACATGGAGACTAGGCTCTGGGGACATGGAATGTCACCTCGCTGGGGGGCAAGGAGTCTGAGCGTTACCGACTAGATATCGACCTCACCTCCACGCACAGTTTGGGCTCGGGAACCCAGCTCCTTGAGAGGGGCTGGACTCTCCATTTCTCTGGCGTTGGCCGCGGGGAGCGGCGGCGGGCTGGTGTGGGCTTGCTCATTGCCCCACAGCTCAGCCGCTGTGTGTTCACCCCGGTGAACGAGAGGGTCGCGTCCCTGCGCCTTTGGGTCGGGGACAGGTCTCTCACTGTGGTGTCGGCCTACGGGCCGAACAGCAGTGCAGAGTACCCGGCCTTTTTGGAATCCCTGGGAGGGGTACTAGACAGTGCACCTACCAGGGATTCCGTTGTTCTACTGGGGGACTTCAACGCCCACGTGGGCAACGACAGTGACACTTGTAGAGGGTGATTGGGAGGAACGGCCTCCCTGATCTGAACCCGAGCGGTGTTTTGTTATTGGACTTCTGTGCTAGTCACAGTTTGTCCATAACGGACACCATGTTCGAGCACAAGGGTGTCCATAAGTGCACGTGGCACCAGGATGCCCTAGGCCGGAGGTCAATGATCGACTTTGTAGTCATGTCATCTGACCTACGGCCACATGTCTTGGACACTCAGGTGAAGAGAGGGGCTGAGCTGTCAAATGATCACCACCTGGTTGTGAGTTGGGTCTGCTGGTGGAGGTTGAAGCCAGAAAGACCTGGCAGACCCAAGCGTGTAGTGAGGGTCTCTTGGGAACATCTGGTGGAGCCCTCTGTCAGAGGGGCTTTCAACGCACATCTGCGGGAGGACTTCTCCCAGATTCCGGGGGAGGCTGGAGATATGGAGTTCGAGTGGACTTCATTCTCGGCCTCTATTGTCGATGTGGCCGCTCATAGCTGTGGGCGTAAGGTCTGTGGTGCCTGTCGCGGCGGCAATCCCCAAAACCGGTGGTGGACACCAGAAGTAAGGGATGCCGTCAGGCTGAAGGAGGAGTCCTAACGGGCCTTGTTGGCTCGTGGGACTCCTGAGGCAGCTGACAGCTACAAGCACGCTGCTGCCTATGCAGTCACAGAGGCGAAAACGCGGAGCTGGGAGGAGTTCGGGGAGGCCATGGAGGAGGACTATCGGACAGCCTCAGAGCTGTTGACCTCAACTGGGGACGTTGTCTGGCGGTGGAAGGAATACTTTGAGGATCTCCTCTTCTGAGGAGGAACCAAAGGCTGAGGACTCGGAGGCGGACTCATCCATCACCCTGGCTGAAGTTACTGAGGTGGTTGGCAAGCTCCTTGGTGGAAAGGCTCCGGGGATGGATGAGATCCGTCCTAAGTACCTTAAGTCTCTGCATGTTGTGGGGCTGTCATGGTTGACACGCCTCTTCAACATCGCGTGGCGGTCGGGGACAGTACCTCTGGACTGGCAAACCGGGGTGGTGGTCCCTCTGTATAAGAAGGGGGACCGGAGGGTGTGTTCCAACTACAGTGGAATCACACTCCTCAGCCTTCCCGGTAAGGTCTATGCCAGGGTACTGGAGAGAAGAATCCGGCCGATAGTCGAACCTCGGATTCAGGAGGAGCAATGTGGTTTTCATCCTGGCTGTGGAACACTGGACCAGCTCTACACTCTCCATCGGGTGCACGAGGGTTCATGGGAGTTTGCCCAACCAGTCCACATGTGCTTTGTGGATCTGGAGAAGGCATTCAACTTTGTCCCTCGTGGTGTCCTGTGGGGGGTGCCCTGGGAGTATGGGGTCCGGGGCCCTTTGCTAAGGGCTGTCCGGTCCCTGTATGACCGGAGCAGGAGCTGTGTTCGCATTGCCGGCAGTAAGTCAGACCTGTTCTCGGTGCATGTTGGACGCTGCCAGGGCTGCCCTTTGTCACCGGTTCTGTTCATTGTGTTTATGGACAGAATTTCTAGGCACAATCAGGGGCCAGATGGGGTCCGGTTTGGGGACCACAGGATCTCATCTCTGCTGTTCGCAAATGATATAGTCCTGTTGGCTTCATCATACCAGGACATGTAATGTGCACTGGGGCTGTTTGCAGCCGAGTGTGAAGTGGCTGGGATGAGAATCAGCACTTTCAAGTCTGAGGCCATGGTTCTTGACCAGAAAAAGGTGGCTTGTCCTCTCCGGGTGGGTGGGGAGTCCCTGCCTCAAGTGGAGGACTTCAAGTATCTCGGGGTCTTGTTCACGAGTGAGGGAAGGACGGAGCGTGAGATTGACAGGCGGATCAGTGCAGCGTCTGCAGTGATGGGGTCGCTGTATCAGACCGTTGTTGTGAAGAGGGAGCTGAGTCGAAAGGCGAAGCTCTCGATTTACTGGTCAATCTTCGTTCCTACTCTCACCTCTAAGCTCTGGGTAATGACTGAAAGGACAAGATCGCGGATACAAGTGCTCGAAATGAGTTTCCTTCATAGGATGGCTGGGTGCTCCCTTAGAGATGGGGTGAGGAGCCCAGTCACACGGAAGGACCTCAGAGTAGAGGAGCCAGTTGAGTTGGCTTGGGCATGTCCCACCAGGAGGAGGCCCCGGGGAAGACCCAGGACACACTGGAGGGACTATGTCTCTCAGCTGGCCTGGGAACGCCTCGGGGTCCCCCCGGAGGAGCTGGAGGACATGTCTGGGGTGAAGGAAGTCTGGGAGTCCCTGCTTAGACTGCTGCCCCCGTGACCCATCCCCAGATAAGCAGAAGAAAAATGGATGGATGGAAGGTATTAATTAGAAGTTTTATTATCTGGCTTCTCATTATCTGATTATGCATTGTTTAATTGGAAAAAATAATATAGAGAAAAGGTAAATAAATCTTAGTAGTACCAGATCTTTGTCATAAAGTAACATACGTCATGTATGTTATAAACTTTTCCCATCTCTGAAAAAAAACACTACTGCCTTTATACTAAAAGTGATTTTGATTCTGATACTCTGCTATTAACTTTGATGTTCACAGCCAGAATCATTAAGTCTTATTGCCATTGTCAGCAAACAGAATTCACAAAAAATTAAGAACTTGTTTTAGTGCCAGTTAATAATAACAGTATATATAAGATATGATAAATTAAAAAGGGTAAATCAAAAATTGATGCACTGAAGATTCTGCACTGTTGTTCTGCCCATATTGTACATTTTGTATAAATTCAGTACACGTAGATTAATTATGGTTCAAGTGTATCAACTTGGGAACACTCTTGGAGCTAGTACAGTATTTTACCTGTGTACTCGGGGAAGCAGATGGAGAGTGGGCTGCGGGTGATCTTATCTTCAAACAGGTCCTTCTTGTTGAGGAAGAGGATGATGGACGTCTCTGTGAACCACTTGTTGTTACAGATTGAGTCGAACAGCTTCATACTCTCATGCATCCGATTCTAAAGCAGATACAGACAGGAAATATAGATTTGAATGGCAGGTTTAAACCTTTTTACAGTAATTATAATAATTCAATAATATCATATTTAAATTAATTGTATATTATTAGATAGAAGATAACTTCCTAGAAAGGTGGAATAGGTCAATAGGTATGGTAATATACAATGATCATTTTAAAAATGTTTAGTCTCAGAGCAGTTTAATCTTGAATACTTGAATACACCAATTTGGTTACATACAATTACTTCACCTGTACATTCAACTGGTTCAAAACTATCTGATTATTGGTGGATTGACGGAAATGACATTACAATTTTAATAAATGCAGCCTTATTCAAATTTCATTTCTAGTTATGAAGACAAAGTCCTTGCAACTTAAAACATTCCACCCACTAATACCATACTGAGGAAAAAAAAAAAGTATGAGCTCAGCTTGTCATGTTCTGCTTGACTAATGTATAAAGGAATCCACCAGGGGACAGTGTTGCTTCAGATTTGACTGAGGGGTGGTCTTGGTCAGCTCTCTTGAGCACCTGCTTTACATTCAAGAAGTGTTATGGAGATGAGGGTCAAATGGTTGTAGTCAGTTGAAAAATGGGCCAAGATGATTTTATAACATAATTACGCTGCACTGTAAATGGGTCGTTAAAGTCCATTGATTAAGTTTTAGCTCTAACAGATTCCCATCATTAGGACATAATAATGAGGGATGGGCAAATGTAAGTGTGCAGCAGCAGTATGGAAAGTGAAGCCAGCTTTTACTTTTAATCAGCCATGACAGCAAACTAAAATGACAGTAGGGACATAGATAAATTTGATTGACATTTAACTTGTGTATGAGCATATATGTTAAAACAACAAATATTATGTATTTCAGAAATGTGATGTCACAAGGTCCCACAAGATACAACTGCAACAAGATTGTGCACACATGTGTTAAGTGCAGATGGGTACATCTCTTGAGAAATTGTAGTTCCAAAAATATTAAAGCAACACCGTGTAACTTTCTGGAGGTAGCGCCTACTTCATTCCATTGAAATAGAAAGTTAAAACAGATTAGTTTCATGCCATACTCAAAAGGAAAAGGAAAAGCATTTGCAAGGAAAACTTCGAAAAAGTAAAGACTCATGTTTTTCAGTCCAATAAAAACATCCAAGTTGGAGAAAAACATGCTTTATTTTTTGGCTCAAAACATGCACAATGGGGCTTTAAATAACGAATAATATCAAAATCTGGTCTCGATCTCATGTCTTGTCTTGTCTTGTCTTACGGGAACTGTGTCTTGTCCCACCCCTTGTTTATTTAGTTATGATTGTAATCTCATATGAGAATAAAAAAAAGGCTTACATATTTCAATGGATATAGGCTATAAATTGTCGAAATGTCGAGGGTGGAAGAATATAGAAGACATTTTAATGGTACCGAAGCACTGAACATTCATTAAAACAAGTGTAATGACTTTTAAATACTGTTCATACATACCATCTCCTCGTCTTCTGCCAGCACCAGGTCGTAAGCGCTCAGAGCCACACAGAAGATAATGGCTGTAACGCCCTCAAAACAGTGGATCCACTTCTTCCTTTCGGAGCGCTGGCCTCCGACATCAAACATCCTGCAGGCAAACAGCACAATGCATTTGGGTCAGAACAGTGGCAAAGAACCAGACAGAAAATGGACAGAAAATGGACAGAAAATGGATGGAGAAGAGGTCATTTTTAGGACAAATGACAAATTGAGGAGGAGAGCTAGAGTGTCATGGCGTCCCTGGATGTGCATTAAGGTTTCATGAGGGAGCTTTCACAATGGAGGAGAGGACAGGAGGCGACTGCTCAGATTTGGTTAAAAAAAAAACAAAACAAAAAACAGTAGAGGTGGAATGTGTTCAAGTAAAAGTGCTGTTACTAGGAAATAATGACATGTTTTAATCGTCTTCAGTTTTTTTATGTAGCCTTACACTTTACATAAGATTTAGACTGAGGTACATTTTAAATTCAAAAGCACTAAATATATACATAAATAAATGTAAATAAATCTGTTCTGCAGTGGGTCGTCTCCTGGTCTAAACATGAGAATCACATCTTTCATCATATTGATTAACTGTCCATGTTTTATTCATAAAGGTGTGCCAAAAGGTAAATATCAGGAACAGGCCACAGAGGGTCAAGGCCAATGTACTCTTTGTGCAGGACCCAAGCTTGGATAAACAGGAAGGGATGTATCAGGAATATAAAAAGGATAAATGTAAAAAAAAAATCAATACATAAATGATGATCTGTGTACATCAGGAAACTGACTGAAAGAAAGGGGATAAGGACAAAATATAATGTAACACATGAACTATTCAGACGAGGTGTTCTTTGGAAACAGGATTTTTTTCTTTGTATCTAGGTAGGTTATGAAATATTTGAGCACTTGAATCTTTCATGCAGGCATTATTAAGAGGCCAATATGTGTGTGTGTGTATATCCATTACTGTCTCAGCTGGAGCTCAGAAGAGGCCCGGGCACTTTTAATGCAGGACCTATTGTTCCATGTAGGCAGTGGAGAGTAGCAAGGTTAACATTGTCAGAACATGTTCTTCAAAACACTTCATTCAATGTGAAGAAATTCAACATTAAAGGTGTTGTACCTGATTTATACTGAAAAACGGTTTGTAGTGGTCCAAAGTTATTACACTCTTACCTTATGCATTCCAAGCATCCTAATTACTCACAATAATAAGTTTATAAAGAGCATTTCATAATTACACCATTAACCCACTCAGACATAATTGCAAAGAACACATTTGTTGCATAGTCTATTTTTACTACACTATACTGCTACACTGCTGTACACAAACAGATTTTTACAATATAATTATCACATCCAAACATCATTCTTACTAATTTATTCAAACTTTATTGTCCATGCCTAATTTATTCAAACTTTATTGTCCATGCCATTTCACTCTTTGATTCAGTTAAACAACTGAAAAAGCTTGCATGGCCTGTTTGACACTTAATGTTGTGGCTTAACAGCTTTGGTTTTTACAGAGCAGCTACAACCTCGTAATTTATCCCACACTACATACAACCTTGATTTAATTTCATACTCTCTCAACCCTATTTGTACAAGCAATTCATTCATGCAATCTGTCCATATAAAGCAGACAGTTACTGTGTGGCAGGCTACATTTCTTGCACAGTGTTGCATTATGGGGGATGTAGTCTAGGCAGTGGGGAATAGGAGTCTTACTTGAAGTGCAGCTCTTTGAAGGTGAAGTGAGTCTCCACGATTCCGGTGGTTTTGACCCTGGTTCTCAAGACGTCCTGCTGTGTGGGGATATAGTCTGCTTTGGCTATCCTCTCCAGGTCGTTCAGGTAACTACAAGAGAAATATGCAAAAATGGTTAGACTAGAATAGAGTACAATACAGTAGAGCTTATCTGTCCACTTTGCAGCAATTTTCACAAGTCTCCACACTATACCATAATTGAAAGGTACAGTGCAAAAGAAAAACGGTTTTGGGTTAGATGACTATTGTGTTGAAAAACATCCAATCCTAAATCGCATAAAAAAGTCAAGCAGGTCAATGCCAATTTCAGCGCGATTTCAATGGGCAACAAAAACACACCCATAAACTGCATTGAAGGAAACCACAAATTGGGGAAAAACAGGCTAGACTTTTGGGACTAGGCGTATCGCAATACACAGGGTGAAACTGTAGTGTATTTCTATGTATTGCCAAGTCAAAGCTCACTACCTATTTGTCTCAGTGGGAATGCCATACTGCCTCCGCAGTATGGCATTTTAACTAATATATCTCACATTTGTTCATTGTTTGTATTGCTAAAAATGTATAATCACATGTATTGTGAGCAGGCTTGTCTCTCCAGAAATCTGACCTGAAACTTGGCCTAGAGGTGTCACCTGCTTGTCTCTATGAACATGGATCATACTGTGAATGCCATACTGTGAACACAGCAGGCAAAATAACATCTCCATGGAGACATAAGCAGGTGGCAGACCCTCCACCAGAAATGTTACACCTTGAACAAGGCTGAAGTATCATTTCAAACAGAAAACAGCCTGTTTTTCGTGGTTTTGAGAGCGTGCAGCCTGTTCTGTTCTATTCAGTTCTGGGACAGACTGTCGGTCAGTGGGGGAGTGTTTCAGCCTCTTCACTACACTCCACACACAGTCACACACGCACACACACACATGCACACACACACATGCACACACACACACTGCCCCAATCTCACCAGCTCAAGTCCAAAACCAACAGAGCAGCAGAGAGGGCTGGACAACCAGAGCTTCACACAGAGTTACAACATTTCATAATAACAAATGCAATCATAAACCACACACTTGCTAATTTAAACTGAGAGCAACAAAATACCCTTCTTTAGGTCCCATATTACGCTATGTTCTAATCTGTGTTATGTTTCCCATCACAAACACGTGGAGTTTTGTTCACATATGTTTAACACACAAACCCTGCATGAGAGTTATTTTCTTTAACTGAAAACACTCTCATGTGGTAATACAGGACGTGCCATCTTAAATCCCATGCACCTTCACTAGAATCATCTGGATAATTTCAGTCCTGGAATTTCCTATCTCTAATAAACAAAAGGTAAAAAGGTAGTCATTAACTTGAAAACTACCATTTCATGAGTATTTTGAGCTTTGGAGATGTAGACTAATAGTGCAGCATTACTCAAACCTGCAAGTGCAATAAACTTAACTCCAGGTATATTTTTAACGAAGCAACAACATTCTTACATTCTAATATAGCTTTAAAACCTTTAATAAATTAAACTAATTGCCACAGCTGGACTAACCTTATATTTCTGTATCTATGGGTTTCAGTTTGTTATAAGTGATACTTTGAGGAACATTCAAATTATATAATATTTTGGTTTTGTGAATTACTATGCCAATAGTCATCATCATTCTGAACCCTATCAATAGAACACCAGTAAAATGCAACACAACCAATTAACACATCATTATACTGTACATTTCTCTGACCCACTTACGATTTACTGTAGTCCATTTTCCCTGCAGAGATGTTGACCATAAATAGCATATCATCAGTTCTTAACAGCAATCAACTATTTCTGTTTTAATATGATGTATTTACAGGAGCTGTCAACATCATAAGTGAGCAATTTAAAACATGTAATAAATAGAGATCGACTGATGTGTTTTTCCATAGCTGCTTCTCATACAGATTGTTTAGAATATAGAACAACCAATGACCCGATGAGTCCTATCCATATTTTTGAGCAGATACATATCTGGGACTATTCTGATTGCGTTCCTCAATTTTGATTACTTTCCTCAATTTGTGGCCATACCAGCTTGTCAAAGCCTGATCACTTCAGATCTCAGAAGCTAAGCAAAGCCCGGCCTGGTTAGTACTTGGCTGGGAGACCACTGGGAAAATCAGGTGCCACAGTGGGGCGCCAGTCACAAAAACTAGCGTTATGTCCTTAGGCAAGGCACTTCAACCACATAGCCTAGTATGAAAGCGGTGTGTGCGTGAGTGATGGTAGTGGTGAGAGGGATCAATGGCGGAGATTGGCAGCCTCACTTCAATTAGTCTGTCCCAGGGCAGTGTATCTACAATAGTAGCTTACTACCACCTGGTATGGAGTGAATGATAATGCTCTGTAAAGCATCTTTGAGTGTCCAGAAAAGCTCCATATAAAACTGATGTATTATTATTATTATTATTATTTATTATTAATTGTGCAATTTAAATTCACTATTAACTCACCCACTGCTCTTTTTTTTAACCATAAACCCATAAGGGAACCGTGTAGTGACATTTTGTGCAGTTTTCTCTTCTTATTAAAGTGTTAAAATAAAGCTTTGTGTCTGTGTTTTAAGCAGCAGATCGACCAAAACTAAATAGGCTATGTGCTGTGATCAAGTAGTTATAAAAGCATTAGATAGCTTGCCATGATAATTGCTACATAAACTTATTGTTTAATATATGAAAGCTGGAAAAAACATTTTGGGGTCAATATTTATCATGTGTACATTTTTTTTTTGCATTGCTGGAGAAATTTTGGTAATTTTTTGGCAATAAACAATAAGATTTAAGCAGTAAAAGTGTTTTAGTCTTCTATTTACTTATTGTAGCTCATGATTTTTTAAAATCAGTATTGTACATTTTGTCTATAGATGTCAAAATTTGTTATCATGACAGGTCTACCATTACCGTTTGAGTTTAGCTAACTGACTGCAGTACCAAAAGTATTGGCTAGTCTACCACATCTACAACTGCATCTATCTTGTAACTACATAAGTGTGAAAATCCATCAATTGCATTTAGTCTAAAATTTAGTACCTAATATTTCCTAAAGGCAGACATTGCATTTGATTAGGAAACTATATTCAAGCATTAAACCAGTAGAGAGACACAAACACTAAATGTAAGTTATAGAGTAATTTCTTGGTTTGTTTTGATCTTTGGGGATGTGAGAGTGTTTCACTGCTTAGTATTAGAGAAGATAAAACCTCTCCATCAGACTTGTCCCCATGGTCAGATATATTAATCTGCCTTTATGAAAAATTATGTGTGTATAAAATTTCATGAAGCATAAAGCAAATATGTAAGCCTTATTTTATACTTCTTGATTATAAAAAAGAAAGTCAATTTATAGCTCTAACTCTTGTGGAGGGTCCTCCACCTGCTGTGTCCAAGGAGACGTTGCTTTGCCCTTGTTTTACACCATTGGTATTGGACTGATCTATATCCATGGAGGAAAGAAAGTGGCAGCATAAGGCAACTAATAACATAAGTGACAGTAAGAACACAGATTTTTCAAAGTATTTTTGAGCAATAAAAAAACAACTGAATAAATGCAAGATAGTGCATAAAGGTGAATGTAATCTGGTCTAAGTGATAAATTGTAGGCCTTTTAAAATATAAGTATTTTGTGACTAAATTAAAAGATCTTTTATCTTGTTTCATGGTCTCAAAGTGCTAGGTAATGTTTATAAATTTGTCTTTGTGAGCAATTAAGCATATTAGGTGCACACCCATTTTTCTGTGTGTAAAACCCATTATGTATTTAAATGCATTCACATTTCAGGTGGTGTTATGCCATTTTTTGCCATATTTAATCATCTGAACAAGAAGCAGCTTGAGATACAGATGGAATAAATAGACCACAAATGCTTAATAAACAGTTGTGCATTTTCTCACTTGGCTACATTACCATTTAAATTGGTTAAACACCATTGAATGTATACAGAAGATGGTTGCATATTGATTGACATTCATGTAGTTAAATGTGCTAACAGCTGTAGTGTTAGTGAAGGGAAGAGTGTGTTCAGAATAAAGAATCACATCTGGTTAATACTGGTGGGAGTATGTTAAAGAGTGAATGTTACAGAATATTAAGGAGGATCACAACATGAAGAAACATGAAGCACTGAGGCTACATGTAGTTAGGAGGAGGTCATTTTGTAAATAAAAAACCATGGTAGAAATGCTATGCTATGCTCATCTTAAAAGACCGTGATAAGTCCCTAGTGCAAGACTAAAAAGGATTTAAATAAATGCTCCATTCTAATTCTAATGACATAACCTAAAGCGTGCACAATAGGCTAATCCTATAGCTTTAAACTCCAGAATCTGACCATGAAACTGGTTCAAGATCAGGAGAGGAGTCCCCAGGCACGGGAATGCGGTCACCTGCTGCACCTGACAAGTTGTCCCAACAGGTCTGGGAGATGAATCACATGGAATGGACAATTTAGACTTTTGGGGCAATAAAGTGGACCTTAAAATTTAGGGTGGGGCATTTAATCACAATTTTCTAAAGCAGGGGTCTCCAAACTGCAGTCCGGGAGCTATCAGTAAAGATTTCTGAATTATAAGTATTGTGCGGAATAACAAAAATTTGATGCTTAACTTTGTGCAGGCATCTAACTGTTCCCCATCTAAGGCTTACTGTGGCTCTTATATTTACTCAGTTTCTTGTGATAGCTAAAATTAGTAGCTCTCTGGTATTTTTGTTTATATAAGTAAAAAGGTTGGAGACCCCTTTTCTAGCCTAGAGAGGTTTTGATTAAAAAAAATAAATAATAAAATCAATCAATCAATGTCAATATCTGTCCCAGAGGGGGAATTCAAACACACTGAGCAGTAAAATACAATAATAGAAAAGTCATGTAGCAGGTAGGATCATCAGCTCCCGTGACAGGCCAATTTAAGGAGAGTAACAGCCCTCTGGACAATCCATACTATGCTGCAATTGGTTAAATCCACCTGTGACTAAAAGTTAAATAAAGTACCAATATTCTAAAAGTAATTGATGACCAAAAGAAATATTTTAAACTGTGTCTGAAACATAATAGACAGCTACTTTATGGGCATAACTGGCTAGTCTCGGCTGTGTCGTTAAACCCTTAATATTTGTAATTTTCAGAAGTTCTATGGGAGAAATGAATGAAACATTTACTTCCAGAGCACTTCTCTGGAAACTCAAAGATACTTTACAGAGCATTATTCATTCTCTCCTCACTCAATGTGGAGTGAGGTTGCCAATCTGTGCCATCGGCCCCTCCGACCACCACCAACACTTACACACACATACCAGGGAAAGTGGGTGAAGACAGTTTTTGTAAACGGCACCCTACTGTGGCACCTGATTTCCCCAGTGGTCTCCCATCCAGATACTAACCAGGCCTGGCCTTGCTTAGCTTCTGAGATCTGATGGGATTAGGCTTTGACAAGCTGGTATGGCCACTCCTGTGTTTTTTAATTGTTCAGTTCCATACAGTGAGACCTTTGATGCTGCCATATATTTAAACATGATAAATGTTCACCAGCCAAAGACTTGATATTGATTGTGACTTATCAGTCCACACTCACTATGCGGCAGAGTCGTTAAGCTGGTACTCTCGTGAGCGGGTGAAGCAGTTCTGGATGCCCGCGTCAGCCCACAGTCGTCGAATGACGTTGGCGAGGTCGTCCGGCAGAATGTCCTTCTCTTCTGCTGTGGCGGCCAAGACAAACAGCTGCCGAGCATCATCCTGGAGAGGGGAAGATGGGGGACAAGATCAGGATCAAATACACACTAATCACTTACTTTTTTAAATTTTATCTTATTGATCCCAAGTATTAATCAATATTTAAACTAGTATAAAATCTAGATACTCATTTTGAATAAGTAATGATACTGAGTGAAAGAAAAATAAATCTGTCCTTTATGGAATATTTTAATGTGGTCTATAGCAGAACTAGTATTGAGACCACACAGTAATATTAAAAGAAACTACTACCACCATTTTGTATTGAAAATGTATTTATAACTGTGGTATTAATATAGGACCTTTATTTCAGTTTAGACAACACCTATAGAATGTTTTCAGAAGATAGAAAAATAAATCCAGATATTTTTGGTATATTTACTGTCCATCAATGATTTGTGGGTCAATCTGGGGTGAGTTAGCGTTTGTTTTTTTTATTTTGTGATGCATGAACATATGTTTTAGTTTTTATTTTATTCCTTCATTTGTTAAAAGTGCTATATAAACAGTTTGTTCTCTATAGATGACATTGTTTTACTTACACAATCTAAACAGCAGCATTCTCTATATCATAAAGGCCTATAATGGACTGTTTACAAGTTTGTTTGTGATAACTTCTATTAAATTTGTTAAGCAGTGGGCTGCAAATGAATGATCAGAGAAAATGAGGTCCCATGTTGAGATTCGCCACACATAGAGCACACTGCTCCTCTGCAAAATGCATCTTGACAGTTTCTCTCCATTCTCTGTGTTACTGCTAATTAATTTGCTCACAGCAGCTTTCACAATAACATGATTTATTCCAGTCTTCAATGTCTGTTTGTACTTGTAAAGCTGGTCTTCACCATGTCGTTCCGGTTTAGCTTGCATTTATTCAGATAATGCACAATAAGCAAATCACATAACTAATCGCGGAAAAACAAAAATCTAAGCAACAGAGCATTTTCCCTGCAGAATTGACCAATGTAATAATGCCATCAATTGCACTAAGAGGAATATAACTTACAAAAAAGAAAAACAATAAGTGTGTGTATGTTTTAATGAGACTGCGCTAGCTGAAAGAAACTTGAAGCGATGGCAAGTATATGCATAGTTTCGGGTCACAAATCAGCTGAATTTGCTTTTGGATGCTGTATTGAGTTTGCTTCCAAAATGCGCTTATAGTTGCTTTAGTTGTAAATAATGTCTTTAAACGTTTTTGGCAAGAGAATGCTTTTTACACTTTATTTTACACTGTTCTTCTACTACTGCTTCTGTATACATACTATATCTATCTATCTATATAGTTGATGGTGCTGCCTTTCGGACAGGACTCCATTCTTTAAGAGTTTTTATGTGAATGTGATTTATTTAAATAAATGGTTTAAAAAATGATTTGTTCCAAGTATTTTTGAACACTGCAGTTTCATTATGGCTTGTGCTTAAACCAGTGGTAGTAAAATTCTGAGTAGTGATGAGTCTGCAGCATTGCATCTTTGAACAAGTATAGTATACTTCCAAATAACATAATATTATAAGCAACTGTATTGTGCGAGGAATTTGACGTAAAATGCATTAAAAGCCAACTTCCAGAAACATGGGTATAAAAATTGCATCTGGTGATCTAGTAAACATAACCCCACTTTTAATGTTGAAATGCCTTCACTAAGAGTTCCTAAGAACTTTTTGACCACTTTTTTTATCTTTGTCACCGTAAGTTTTTATACTACAAGCATGGTAATTTTCACTGTCTGCCAACAATTGTAATGTTTTATTTTGTGATATAAGGCCAGCTTAAGCAAATGTGATCATCCAAAACAGGCCCATGTCACAGTCAGAGCAGTTTAACCATTTTAGTGTGTCTACATTGGATGAAGATGGATGAGAAGACAAATGAACTGTGATTCCACTTCTGTAATGCAATGAGCTGCATCCATAGTGACACCAGGCGACAGCACAAAACAACAATCTACCAAATCTTCTATCATTTCCAGCAAAAAATAAATAAATAAATAAATAAAAATTTGCTAATTTAAATTACGTTAGTTCTTTCTTTCAAGCTTTTTTTTATATCTCCAACATATGATTTTTGCCTCTCCCTTTGCCAAGAATGTTCCATGGTATAGCATTAAACACATCTCCATGCAGACAAGCTGGTCATGCCATCATGCCAAGTAACAAGTCAGATCTTTGGAGAGATGAACCTGCTCACAGCAAAAATCTATGTTATTTAAAACATTTTGATCATTAAAAATATCTGTAATTGAATAAATGTATGATGGATAGGTCTAATGCCAAACTGTGGAACATTACAGCCAAAGCAATAGCACAAGGCAAGCAGATAAAGTGACATAGTGAACCTTTAATGTAAATATATTCACATTATTTCAGCATCTCTAACAGTTCTCTTGTCTTACTTGTCTAGCAGCGTCGACATAGTTGATCTTGAGGGACGCCATGGCTCTGACGATGGCCATGATGGACTGGATGGTGTTACTGTAGACCACGGCTCTGTACTGCTTACACTCGTCTTCTGAGTATCCATCTTCATGAATGATCCTGAAAGACAAAAAAATAGATACGTTTGGGACAACATTCAAATGGAGAGGGATTTATACATACTTTATGAACTAGAAAGGGACAAAACTGAAATTCTATCTTTGGAATTCTAGTCTTTTTTAAGAAGGCAAAATGAGATGATAATAGATGATGATAGTTAATGTATACTATGTGAAAGTCACGAGATTTGCCTTGTTTCTCCTTACCCCAGCACCTGTACATGTACAACCATTTATTTTTTGCTCTTGACTATACTGTAATGTGTGAACTTCTGTGTTCACGCCATTTCCCATGTGGATGAATAAAGATTGTCTAACTAAAAATTATTTTTCAATTTACTGTTTTTTCATAGGATGCCTTGACTCAACCCGACTCAACCTTACAATCTACACTCAAATGAACTTTAAACACAAACTCATTAACATAAGTTTAAGCAGAGTTGCAAAACACCTTTTCCTATGAATTATGCAGACTAATGCATTTACTCAGCCCCCAATCAGACGACCTGAGGCATAGTATTGACTCTTTACTAGAACAAATAAAGTAAATCGTCGATGTTGAAACGCTCTCACATCAAAACAAGTCTACAGCGGCGGCCTTTGTTGTGAAAAGTGCTGCGTCTCCACTATCCTTGTGTCTGGGGGCAGCGGTTTGATGCAGCAGAGACTGGTTAATACCTATTGTTCTCTGCCTCTGTGTTTTTCATGGTTTTTGGTGTTTTTCAATGCTTGTGCAGTATCACTACATGAAGCGAGCAGTGAGTCAGCTAAGTGTCGTTAATGTGCAATCACAAGTGTGTTTCCTGTCTCCAGATCTATGCAGATTTCATGAGGCTCTAAAGAGGAAGTGCAGACAGGGCAAATCCAGACAAGCTTCAAAATCTACAGCCTACTGCTATTCTTATTACTTTTACAGTCAAATCAAATGCAATGTGAAAATGTTTATTGTCTATATCTTTCTTGATACTTCAGTGATGTTTAACATACAGTATGTGCACTGTTTATGTAGTGTTTATATTGTGTAACGTTTTTAGTGGAAAGTGCGTCAAATGCTTTTTCCCATGGAGGTGTTACTGCCTTGTCTGGAATGTTTCTATCTTCATGGACACTAAATCAGACCAAGTTACAGTTCAGATCTATGGAGAGGCAACCCCATTCACAGTCAGAACAGGCATTTTTGAGCTATAAAACCACCAGTTATTTCATAAAGGTAAGGTAGAGCTGCTTAATGAACAAAAAGATATCCACAGAAACAAGCAGGTGACGGATCCTCCACCAGAAAAGTTGTATGTTAATGTTTTATGGTAAGCTTTTTGCAGGTTTTCCAATGTGTTTGTTAGTTACAAATGTCAAATAAACTAAGCTAATATAATCAAAAGGAAACACATTTTTGTACAATTTAGACATGCTGTGTCCCTTTCAATTTTGTATTATTCAAATATCTAATCAGTTTTAATACACAGTCAACAAAACCAAAACATAACACAAAATGAAAACAGTGAGGCATAACATTAAAGAAATTTGAATAGAAACACAGATTTAGACAGATGCACAAAAACTATCCCAATACACAGTCACTGCTTTGCCCTTCCCTCTTCCATTTTTTAATAATTTATAATAGTAAAATTTGTATTCCATTAACAGATTTATTGAGAGTGTTAAAGAACAGGCAATTACATATTCAAACTAATTTATGAGCAAAGGAAACAATAGTTAACTGCAAAATTGTCTGATTAAAATGAGGAGGAAATGCTAATTACAAAATTGTGTTATGTAATGTAATGCACTGTCAGTGTTCCACAAGTGATTTTGTGTCACAACTTGATCTATGTGTACGCAATAGAAAATAAAAAAAACACTGTATTTTCCATCTTCATAAAAAATGAATTGAACGCCTGGCTTGCCCAGAGGAATGTGAATAATTAAGCTCTGTAGTCCTGTGTGTGTCTCTTCTCATCGGTGTCTCTCACACAAATGGGAACATGGCTTTACAATCTACCTCACCAAATTTTACTAGACTTTTGTGAGCGGTACCTAATTTCTTTCACTTATGTTTATGTAACCAGATTCACAAATTCTATATTAAGCTGAACATTTACCAGCATACAGGTATTCATTTTCCCAATATTAGTTAAAGGTGCATTGTGTAACTTTTCATCTGCTTGTTTTTATGGATATGTCACTGCTCTGCCTGGAATGCTCCACAGTATGACACTAAACAGCTCTACCTTACATTTATTCAATTACAGGAGGTTTTATTGGTCAAAAATACAATATATTGCCCAAAACTTTCACTCACCAATCCAAATAATGGAATTCAGGTGTTCCAATCACTTCCATGGGCACAGGTGGATAAAGTCAAGCACCTTGGCTGCACACTGTTTCTACAAACATTTGTGAAAGAATGGGTTGCTCTTAGGAGCTCAGTGAATTCCAGCATGGTACTGTGATAGGATGCCACCTGTGAAATTTCCTCGCTCCTAAACACTCCTAAATACTCCAGTCAACTGTCAGTGTACTATAACAAAGAGGAAGTGATTGGGAACGACAGCAACTCAGCCACGAAGTGGTAGGCCACGTAAACTGATGGGGCAGGGTCAGCGGATGCTGAGGCGCATAGTGCGCAAAAGTCGCCAACTTTCTTCAGAGTCAGTCGCTACAGAGCTCCAAACTTCATGTGGCCTTCAGATTAGCTCAAGAACAGTGCATAGAGAGCCTCATGGAATGGATTTTCATGACTGAAGATGCATCCAAGCCACACATCACCAAGAGCAATGCAAAGTGCTGGATGGTGTAAAGCACGCTGCCACTGGACTCTAGCGCAATGGATGAGTCTGGGTTTGGCGGTTGCCAGGAGAACAGTACTTGTTTGACTGCACTGTGCCAAGTGTAAAGTTTGGTGGAGGCAGGATTATGGTGTGGGGTTGTTTTTCAGGAGCTGGGCTTGGCCCCTTAGTTCCAGTGAAAGGAACTTTGAATGCTTCAGCATACCAAGAGATTTTGGACAATTACATGCTCCCAAGTGTGTGAGAACAGTTTGGAGATGGCCCCTTCCTCTTCCAACATGACTGTGCACCAGTGCACAAAGCAAGGTCCATAAAGACATGGATGAGAGTTCGGTGTGGATGAACTTGACTGGCCTGCACAGAGTGTTGACCTAAACGTGACTGAACACTTTGAATTAGAGAGGAGGCTGAGAGCTAGGCCTTCTTGTCCAACATCAGTGTGTGACCTAACAAATGTGCTTCTGGTAGAGTGGTCAAAAATTTCCATAAACACACTCCTAAACCTGAAGGACAGCCTTCCCAGAAGCGTTGAAGCTGTTATAGCTGCAAAGGGCGGACCAACGTCATATTAAACCCTATGGATTAAGAATGGGATGTCACTTAAAATCGTATGCGTGTCAAGGCAGGTGAGCGAATACTTTTGGCAATATAGTGTACCTAGAAAAACAGGCATTCTGACTCTGATGGGGTCACCTCTCCACAGATCTGACCTGTAACTTGGTCTGGTTTGGTCTCCATGAAGATAAAGATTAATACCATACTGTGGAACATTCCAGACAAAGCAATATAATCTCCACACAGAAATTAATTTAGTGGACCCTCCACCAGAAAGGTTACACAATGCACTTTTAAGAATCAAAGTATTAGGAGCTTTATGATGTGATTTTTATAGTATATAGGGCAACTGCATAATATCTTTGTGTACCACTGTAGTACCCCATTTACCCCGTTACACTGACCCTCATTCATGGGTTTCAGTTTCCTGCTATATGCAATATAGTATTTTTTCATAAACTGTTTATCACTTTGGAAATGGTCCTAATGTTTCATCATTCTGAAACCCATGGATACCCAAGTTTAGGACAGGAACAGAAAATAAAGGATTTGATAAGATAAGGGGCGGGTCATATGCCGACAGATGTATTTCACAAGACTTGATCATGATTCATGATGATTGTTGTAACAATTTGTATTTACTACATATGCTGTTTTTACGAAGCAAATAACCATCTGCTTCTTTCATACTTCACTGTGATTAGTTAAAAAGGTATTTTACTTTTATGGCGTATTAACCTTTTATTGTTTTGCAAATGCTATATTTGCCAAAAACAACATGTCATCAGTTTCACTTTTGTTTTGATGCTTTTCCCTCCTTTTGCTCGCTGTGTAAATCACTCCCCCTTCAGAGCGCCATCACAACACAATCAGTATTCATGCTGCTAATGAAGCTACATTGCATCAAGTTTCACAAGTTGTGGTGTACACTTTTGGATCATGCTCTTGTAGGCTATAATATGGAGAATTGTCGTGTGGGTGCATGGATGACATGTGCTTGTGGGCTGAGCACTGAACAGAATTTTACAGCTAAACATACTGAGAGTTCAAAGGAGGGCATGGTAGAGATCACAAAATTACTCAGACATGCACATCTAAAACCTCGTCAGATACATTTTTAATGAGGGAACCACATTATAACATGGCAGTAAAAGAACAGAGTATCAAGATACAGTCAAGACTACAGTTTTTATTTTCTCGTTGATAGGACCAGTATTTCTGGAAAAATCCACATTTAAATTTTGGAATGAGTTTGTACAGAACATTAAACCTAAAAGCATATGCCTGGCTGAAACACTTGCACGCAGGCTACCGCCATCAACAGAAACAAGTGCAATGTCCGTGCGCTAAACTAGGACTTAAGTTTTACTCAAATGGTGAGAAAACAGTCATTTACTTTCTATAACTTGGATTATAAAGATGAGAAGCACCTGAGGAGAGAAAGGAGGAAAGGTGAGGAGCTGCAACTGCAAGAGCGAGAGAGGGGGAGCAGTCAGACAGCACCCGCACAGAGAGAGGGGGAGAGTGACTGGACTTTTAGTCAAATTGTGCAGGTTTAAGTCAAAACTTGTGAACGCGTGAGACGTGAAGAGACACGCTGTGGCTCAGGCTACAATTTCCTCAACAAGAGTCAATCCTCGTCAACTCCATGCACTCTTACTGCCACAGAATTGGTTGGTGACCTGTTGATTAAAATGCGCATGACTTAGTAAGATCGATCAAGATTGTGATCTATTGATCTTTCTGTTATTGTTACAGTCCTACCTGGAAGTATACTAAAATATATATTTTTTGCTTTATACCCATATAATATACCCCATACTCCACCAGCGTGAGGAAGGCTGACCAATAGGAGGAATTGGTGGGCAGTACTTAGAGCATGCTGAGCACTTACTTCATTTGCTTGACAATAGTGCTTTTTCCAGACTCTCCTGCACCTGTGGAAGAGAAAAAAAACATTTAAGCAAGAGTAAGCTAATGTGTGAGAGGTGACACCAGGACAACAAACATTGGACAGTTTACATTTTAATAATTTACTCAAAAATGTGTTGAGAGTGACAGTTGAACAGGCTTATTATTTCAGGCCAAAACTGAATCCCTGCCAAGTCTGAATTAAAAATAGAGAGATTATGTTTAATAATTAAACTATAAGTGCATAAATGCCAGGGCAGTGAGAAAGCCAGCTCAAATGTAAGTATTTGAGATTCTTAATATTATCTGGACCTCCAGGGATTTCTTTTTTAATCTGGGGGTCAATAGCACTCTGCTCTGCACCTGTCCCACCATTTGACCCCCTCGTCTCAAAGCCCTGACTCCAAGCATTAACCTGTCCCACAGTAGACACAGGGAGGGGAGGGGCTGAGCTGTGGAGAGCTGTCCTCGTCCTGTCAAAGCCCATCACATCCACACACCAACATGGGAGAGAGGAGAGAGAGGGAAGAGCGGGCAGAGAGGGGAGAGAACGAAGAGAACGACAGGAAGGAAGAGAGGGAACAGGGAGGAGGGGGAAGAGAGGTGAGAGAGGTGAGAGCAGGAGGGGGAAGAGAGGTGATAGGGAGGAAGGAGAAGAGAGGGAAGGGAAGGAAGAGAAGGGAGAGGGAAGAGAAGTGAGGGAAAAGGGGGGAGAAGGAAGAGGGGGAAGTGGAGGACAAGAGAGAGAGAAGAAATGATGGGATGAAAGGGGTGAGTAGAGAGGGACAAAGAGGACAGTGAGAAGAGAGGAAAGAGGTGGGAGGAGGGGTAGGGGAGAGGAGTAAGGGAGGAGATGATGGTGAGAGGAGAGAAAGATGAAGGAAAGAAGGATGAGAAACAGGAAGGAGAGAGCTAGAAAAGGGGGAGGAGAAACAACATAGGTATAAAAAGAGTGGGGGAGAAAGACTGAGGGAAGGGAGAGGGGGAAGAAGAAAGATGGGAGAGGTACGGAAAGAGAGCAGGAGAAAAAGAGGAGAAGAGAGAGAAGTGTCTAAAGCAGAGTGAAGATCTATACGGGTTGTCACATGTCCTACAGAGACAAGGGCACTAGACTGGGCTATTAGCAGGACTGCACTGTAAATCAGCTGCATGGTATTCAGGAGAGCTGCTGTACAGTCTGGAGAACATGTAATGTTCATGTGCTAGACTCGTGTGGTAAACGAACACTATGGTGTATCTGGATTTGAAAAACTGTCATATACTGTGACATGACAGCCAAGAGCAATGGAGTATTATAACTTCTGATGTCAACTATCTAAAAAAGGTCAACAAGGACCATGCTGGACATGTCATCAATAATGCTGTTGTGTTTGTATAAAAAAAGCTATATTAGACCGAGTAATTCTTTTGTGGTAACCTGGCACACATTATATTGGTAAAGTATTTGTAGCACTCTTTACACACCACGATGGGATGACTGTCGCTGAAAGCATGGGGAAAAGTGTGATTAAACCATTGGTTAAGCAGGTAGTCCCAACAGCAGGAGCTGGGCCAGATCGAGTGAGTTTGTGAATTAACAAATTTGTGAGAATTCATCTCGATGGCCAGATTAATTTTGTGGTTAATTTAACATTTTGTGGCACTTGAATGTAATCCAAAACATTTACAGGCATATCTTGGCACATTTAATAGATTATCTCAATGACTGTTCACACAATATTATAACAATCCAGAATTTGAATAGAATCTGTGTGAATATACTTGCTGTATACAATAAGAACAGTATTAGAAAAACTCCCTATTATATGCACACCTTCATGCCACTATTGAGACTTTGTTGTACTGACCAATACTTTCACTGCTCTCATTCTGTGCATGCACTGAAAAATCTAAAAGCAGCCCATTGTGTAGCCTCTTTTATTGGCCGTAGCCATTTCAAATCATCACACCTTTGAACTACAACATACAAGAATGCTATTAGCTTGAACCAGTCATTATTAAAGTAAAAAAGTGTCCTATTTAAAATCATGTGAAGTGGGCGATGATGACAGCGCGGGGCTCTGCGGGCGCTGTACATGAAGGTCACCTCTCTGCCTCGAATAAAACTCTGCCATTAATATTTCAGGCCTGAGGGACCACATCACTGTCCTACAGGTATTTTAGGACATGGCCACTAATGAACAAAGGGAGCGCTGTGGAGATTGGGAAGACAAATTAAATAGAAATTCAAAACTGTTTGCCATGAATGAAAGCACAGGGAACACTAGTGCCAATTTGACCTGGTTTTAGATTAGACCAAGTTTCAGGTTTTTTACTAAACTAGTTGTCACGATTATAATGTTTATAACTCAATTTCAATATTAAAGAATAGGCTTGATACTCAATACCAAGGATGTTAAAAAAAATGACAAAATCTTGACATGTATTAGTAGTAGTGTATATACAGTAGCTCTGATATGTACAGCTGGGCACTAATTTTCTTCTTTTTTTTTTTTTTTTTTTTTTTAAACAAATCTACTTTAGAGTTGCATTTCCATTTTAAAATAGTCAAACAACATCAGGCTTTCCCTCACCTTATATAATGGGTTCAGAGCAAAACATAAAAAGCATTTCATTGTATACAGATTACATACAGTTTGATATGATTAGAATACAATATCATATTTCTTGACAGTTCAGTCTCCAGTCCTTCGGTATGTCGGCATTGCAAATTGAAATAATTAATTCTAACAACTGCAGCCCATGAACATGTCCTGGGGGAGCTGTTGATTTGCTGCAGATGCCGATCAGTGTCAAACACGTCCTCATTACGTGACATAGCACTGAGGCAGGGCGCTAACTCTGCTTTATGTGCTGTAGAAGAAGAGAGCTGGATCGATTTTCCTGCATGAGCCACGTGATGCTCAAATATTTAAAAAGCGACTCGGGAGATGACCTGCTAGACGAGAAGTTCAAACAGCAGGCTAGTGTGATAACAGTGAAATATAGAATGATTCAGGAAGTAGGCTTACTCTAAAAGCAAATTATATATATCCATGTAAACAAGATTATTAGGGCTATAGGCTCATACTTTTAATCTGTCTACTTTGTTCTCTTTAAATAGCTGTTTTTGCAGTTGGTCCAGATATAAATGCACAATAGCTTTAGGAGTTTGTGTCACACCCCCTTTTTAGTTGAATAATCGGCAGGACATGCTTAGTCGATCAAGAAGTTCTTTAGTTGACTACAGATCCAAAGATTATTCCTTGGTACAGTTACTGCCTAAAGGTTCGCTGGTATTGGTATGGAAATGTAAATATTTTATCAAAACAATCAAAAAAATCCAACTTCCTCAAACACTTAAGTCTGAAATGCCTGTGATTGCTCTGAGCTATAAAACAAACAAAACTCAATTTGATTTTCATCCTGGACGGCAACAGTCCACTAACTGCATAATTCTACAGCGTGGGAGTGGGCAATATAAGGCAAGCATATATCACAAGTTTGTAGGTGGTATAGATTTGGACTTTTTTTATTGATTCATTTACACTTGTCGGAAGCAGTATGCATTTTCTGAGAGTTCAAACTTGACCTTGTTGAACTGTTCTCAAATCTGTCTGTCACTCAAACAGACCAAGAGGAATCAGTTGCCTGTTTTGCTTAGCTGTACAGAATCTGTCTAAATAGTGTGTGGGTCACTGTAATAATCTGTCATATTTACAATTTAACGTTAACTTAAACATGTCCATTAATACACACTGTTCCACCTTCCTTAACCAAAAAAAAAAAAAAAAAGTAAAATTTTACATTGTATGAACTTTAACGTGAAGATTAAGTTGGTATATCAAGTTAATTTTGTTGCGTCCCCAATTGTGTCTCAGAATACAAAACTACTGACTGAAAAAGATCTACACTCTATTCCAATTTCTATACCACAGTGCCAATAATAAAAATTTTAAAAAAGTACAATAGAAAACAAGATTCAGCACAAAAGTGTATTTTCTCTGACAGTACCATTTGGTTGTTCTGATATAGAACAAGACTATTACAGTAACTACTCAGAAAAGTTTTTGTTTAGATCGATACCTGTGTGAATGAGTATCTAGATTTGATACAAGTTTTAGTTTACTATGTTTTCTGACAACTCCAGTCATAAAACAATAACACTATTTAAAGGTTCTATATTACAATATTTTCTGATCTATACTATATTGTTTTTTCCCCATCAAAAACATACCTGGAGTTATGTTTAGTTTCATTCACATGTTTAACATGTAAATCCTGCATATTTAGGCTGAGTTCTTCTCAAAAGGAAAGCATGCTGTTCCACCTTTTGATGTCATGAGGTAATACAGGATGTGCTCCACTGCGTTTTAAAACTCCATACACCTTCACTAGCATCATTTGGATGATTTCAGGCCTTGAATTGAATTTTGAAAATGTAGACAGACTAATAAACCAGGATTACTCAAACATGTGTGAATTAAACAAAACAACTTAAAATGTTTTGAGACGGTAACAGCATTATAGCATGGCTTTAAGCGCACAAGAATCCATTTTGTATAATATAGCACCTTTAATATAATTCCAATTACCACAAATAACAAAAACCCGCAAATATGCTAATCCGACAATCTTTAACAGGACACTATATGAAGAATCAAAGCATGTTTAATAATACATAATACATAATACATGTATAATCAGAGTAGGAATATGTTGTAATGGAGGATAAAACATAAATAACAGTATGCTCTTTGATCCATTGGCTTTAATTACAAGTTCAGGAGTCTACATAACTGGCCCTCAGACGAGAATAACAGCGCAAAGGGAAAGAGGTGAGGAGGCAACAACACCACATAAATCCCGTATAGTTTACGCATCCTTCGGAGAGACAAACCGGCTTTACACGGCCATTGTAAGAGTCACACACAGTCACTTATCAGGGGAATAGGGCCATATAGATAGGAGGCAGCAAAGATACAAGTTTAGAGTTAGGTCAAGAAGACATAAAAAGGAATGACATGTTTAAAGATAGAAGAATTAA